GTTACTGTGACGATATGGGAGCGGTCGGGTCGGCTACGGAAAGAGGCTTTGCCTACTTGTTTTTGCATGCGTATTTGAAATCTGGCTTAAAATTTAATACTGGACGACATTTTATGGCGCGAACTTAAAACGCCCAAATGCAGCATAGAGCTTCGGCCGAATTTACAAGACCATGATTTCCAGGATGCTCGATCTACAAACATTAACTTGTCAGAATACATTCTGAACGTGTTTGTGCCCTTTGCTGCAACACCGCTAGAATCACTGTTGCAGGCCTCTTAATGCTAGTTTGTGGCATTCTATTTCACTGCACGGATTGATTAAAATAACATCGATTTTTATTTAAATATATAGTGTATATTTTTTCAGTACTTTAGCGATGTACTCCTCTGTTCAGTTTGACCACAGATCATGGCTTGATTGACTGCCTGTTGCATCTTGTATTTTTTTTCAATATACGTTGATATGGAAAGGTAATCTCAATATCCTGATGATTAAAATTTAATGTATGCATATTGCAGCATTTAACAATTATATGTATCAAATACTGCATTCAGGTTATTGAAAATTGAACTATTTGCCAGTAAAACGAATCCAGGTGACAAGATATATCTATCTATATAAATTTGGTATTTCATAAGTAGATAAGATTATATCATAACATAAATTATTATGAGACTATTCATACTAAAGATTTTTTAATAAACAAATCATTTGAAGAAATATTGAATGCTGTGTAAACAAAAGAATTGTTTCACATGATGACAGTGTTAGGAATCAGAGATAACAAGTGTATCAATCAGTATCTACCACATCTATTTCATTCAGTGAAAATAATATCTAATACTAGGATATCCCTATGGTCTTTTTCACTTTGCAATAATTTTTCTCTTTTTGCCATTCCTATGGTCAATTCTGTGACTAACTGATATTTTCAATATTTTAGGGGGGCCGTGTATGCATCTTGGAGAAAATATTATGCTTTGTAAAGATGTTAAGGTAAGTATATCGATTGATAATTTTTCTTGTGGTAGATACTGGAATTTAAGTGTAGACTTATTTAGGCTTGATGCCTTTCATGTAGATTAGCCACACTGCTCAGACTTCAGTGGTTGTTTTAATGGTTAATGGTTAATGGTTAAAAGCAAGATAAATGTGCTAGACATCTAAGGTCATGTAGCACTATAGTTAATGTTAGTGAAGGGTGGTTGAGTTAGTGATTAGTTGTCTAAGCTGGGCAAAGGAATTAGTGAGTGAAAGGGTTAAGGTCGGGTGTTATATTAGATAAAGGGTATGCATAAGAAAGGTTTCTTGAAGGCATACAATAGATGGGTTATAAGAGGAAAGGATATGATGGTCAGGTCTGTGGGAGCGGAAACCGCGAATATTCCAATGAAGGATAGTTATACTTTCGTTGATTTAGTGATATAGATTGTAGTACGTGTTGGAGAATTTGAAGGGGAAGCAGCTAGAGGGTGGAATAAGGACTGAGAGGTTTGAGATGGGAGAGGTGTGGGAGTTGGTGTTCTATCAGGAGGGGTAGTAGGAGATGGAGGGTCTGAGGAAGGGGATACTTGTGACATAAGGGATTCACGTGTGTATCCAGGAGGGAGTGGAAGGGATAGAGGGGATGGTGGGAGAGTTAATGTGGGCAGGGTTGGGGTCAGGGGGGATGGGCTGTGTTGGGAGGGGGTAGGAGGGTAGGGTGTAGGGGGGATATCGTTAGGAGGAGGATGGATATCAGCAATTACTTGGAGTGTGGAAGGAGCAGGAGTTGTAGGTTGAGTGTCGGTTTTCATTAAGTAATCTTGAATATTTTCAATAGTTTCTTCTGTGGAGTTGGTTGGGGAGTTTTGGGGGATAAAGGATTTCTTGTGAGGGGGGGAAGAGAGGACTGGTGTCTCAAGAGTACGGGCAAAGGATGGTGGGGGTGATTGTGTGGTAGGGGAAGAGGGGGTGGAACGTTTGTTCTGTCTGTTACGGGGAGTGCGAGGAGGGAGAGGGGAAGGTGTTGGGGTTGTAGTGGTGATTGGAGTATCTGTAGTAGAGATTGGAGTTTCTGGATTTAGGATGGCAAAAGAGTTTGACTGGGGAAGGTAGGTGGGGTTAGTGGGGGGGTTAGATGTAGGAGGGGTGGGTTTAGGAGAAGTGTTAGGATGAGCAGTATTACTGGAGTAGGGAGTAAGAGAGAATCCACGTCGACGTGCTTCCTGTCTGGCTTCACGCAGTGTGAGTCCGAGTTTGAATCTGAGAGTTGCTACCTCAGATTCAAATTTGTAGGTGGGACAGCCCCTATAAAATACATTATGGGGGCCGCCACAGTTGGCACATGTGCGTGATTGTGCAGAGCAGTTAGATCGGGTATGGCCAGGTTGGGCACATAATGGGCATCTGTCTGTGGAACGGCAGTGTTTGGCTGGGTGTCCTAGACGCCAACAATTTTGGCACTGACGTGGAGGAGGTTGGTATGGACGAACAGGGAGGGATTCTCCTCCTATGTAGACGTTAAAGGGAAGGTCATGTCTACGGAAGGTAATTTTGGCTATGTTAGTGGGTTTCTTTCGATGACCTCTGGGGGGGATGGAATAGCATTGTACTGATGTTGCATCGTAGTCTGTGAGACAGACAAGTAGATCTTCTCCACAATCTGACCATTCTTTGTCATAGATTGGGCAATTTGTTGGTGAGATTGAGACTGTTCCGGTGCAAGTATTGAGGGTTGGATGGGGTTCTGCTAGGATGGGGTTACCATATAGGTCAGTTAGTTTTGTTAATGCTATGGCTTGGTTTTCGGATGTTACTGTTACAAGACGGGAGCGGTCGGGTCGGCTACGGAAAGAGACTTTACCTACTTGTTTTTGGAGGCATTGTTGGAAGAGAAGGGTGTTGTTAGAGTAGGGAGCTGTGGGAGGGATCACGAAAAATCGGTCCCATTTGGCTGCACTGAAGAGAGTATTCAAGATTGTTTTAGAGATAGGGGTGGTAGAAGGGCGAGGGCGTGACGAAGATGGAGTAGTGTTGATGGAGGTAGTGTTATGGAGAGGTGGGCTATAAGGCTGTAAGGTATTAATAAGGGAGGATGGGGTGGTTGATGTTGGAGGTTGTGGGGGTAGAGGTGTTGAAGTTGGGCATGCTGGGAGAGTGGAAATGTCCCTTGAGGGTTGATTGTTGGCTACTGTACTAGTAGGCATTGGTGAAGGGGTAGTTATTGCAGTGTTTGGAGCCGTGATCAAAGGAGAGCCTGGGGTCGGGGAATCGGGTGGGTTTACTTCGTTGGGGCTATTTGATAAAGGGGCAAGCCTCATTGCCCCTAACAGTGGGGATATATTTTCATTACTGGCCATGGGAAGCCTGGATTATGTTGGGGATAAAAGCAGTCCACCCCTCAGGGTCCCCTTGAGGGGTAAGGGCTAGATAACTAAATCAGGGGAATACCGTGCCCATGGCTCCCTCAGGCCGTTCAGGACTGGCACAAAGTCAGCCTTTCATCCTTTCAGCACGGCTCTCACACCTTAGGAGGTGGATAGCAGAAGGGTTTGGTGAAGGGACAGAAACAAAAGTGGGAAGGGAAAAAAAAAGACCATGCATAATTAGTTGAGTCGAGGGCTGAGTCCCAAGGTTGGGGAGTTCCCCATCATTGGGTCCCAGTCTCCGCCTCCTAAGCCCCCCCACGACAACAACGGGCAAGGGATTGGGGGGGTGTGGTTGTTTTAAGCAGGGAACGGTGCAATTCTTAACCTTAAGAGCATAAAATGCTCTAAGTGTATTTCATTCAAAGTGTGACATTATTATATATCTATTTATTGTTCCTTTGTTTGAGTTTGCTTTTGTTACAATTCTCTCTGGCAGCCTATAATAGAACTTATTCTTCATATGATTGTAAATGTCATCACAGCAGTAGCAAATCTGAAAACAAGGTTTGTCCAATGTGAAAAATGTATGCTGTAAAGAACCTGAACTGCAACTAAATACTTTCCCAGTAGTAACTACACTTTACAGTTCAATTTTATAGCCTGTTTTATCATCAAATAAATATATCTGCATTCACTGTTGCTGGTCAAGTTGGCCAGGAAAGGTAAATAGGCACTTTGTCAATACAGATTCTTTAGATTTTGAGTACAAATGGCAACCCATTCCTGCATTTGATCAAACAATTTATTATATAGAATTATGGGCCGCAAAGTGAGTAACTATTTCACATTCAAGATAAAGTTCTGTAACACATCTTAATGCACAACCTAGCAGCCATATTGTTTAAGCTCATTCTTGACAATCTCTGAATGTGAATTCCTCATATCAAGGCAATGTTAACAAACAAAAATTGTAACTGGTTATATATTGCTAAGCTCTCTCTCATAACACGAGAAAGCTATATGACTGCATTTATACTTTTGTAAAAAATCATACTCATTGTAGTTTCCAATTTATTTCATTAACATTACCTGCCATACAAATACAATAAGCAGTACAATTGTGATAGTCTTCATTATATGAATGATGGAAGTCCAATGCCATACCTTAGTAAATCTACTATTTTTTTTTACAAAATATAAATATGAGGCATGGAATTTCAATGTATAGTAAACTTCCATCTCTAATCTTAAAGTCCCTGTGCTGAAGAATGATCCTCAATACCGACCATTATTTCACCAACTTGGAAAATTAGTATGAATGTATTAGAAAACTTAACTGGGATATTTTGGGAAAGGAATAGATGTCTTCAAACTGGACAATATTTGAAATATAACCTTTTATTTATGGTGTTTTCTACAACTCTCCAAGATGTGGACCATAAAAAATGTCTGATGGGGCATAAAGGAAAGAATTTTCTTTCAAGTAGTTTTACTGGCAGAGATAACAATCACAAGTTCACATGATGAAATATGCAAGTTATTTCACATATAACAAAGAAAAAAACTATGTACCTTTTAGCCATATATTGTGATATTAAAAAAAAAAAAGAAAAAAAGACAGCAAGTTTAAAGGTGATGAAAACAAGCTTACACAAGATCATATTATATTGAAAATTACATCAATATATTTACATTAAGCTCCAAAATACAGTATATCAATATTAAGATTCATGAAAAATCCTCTAGTTACCAAATGTAAATTTATGAATATGCTTCTTATGTATCTTTTCTACACAAACAACAGCTGAAAGAAACAGCAGGAATGGTTAAGTTAACTAGTTCTGTTAGGTCAAACAAGCAACCTTATTCAGCCTTACGTTTGGGGATAGGTTCTTTGTGGTGCAAGAAAACCATGGAAAATAACCATACACCAAACATCATGGAGAAGGCACTAGCATAATATGGGTAGGCACACTCAATAAATCTCTCATATTCTCGGTGAGTGAATGGTCGAACTGATACCTGAAAATACATGTATAAAATTTATTAGAAATGTATATATACATAGATACACTGAAAAACAGGGGATTCAAAAACCTGTTTTTCCAGCTTAAAATGGTTTTACCTTTATGAGTTTATGTTTATGAGTTTAACATTTAATGATTCTTAAATTTCAAGAAAGATTTAAAAACTTGTATCCTCCATTAAAAAAAGGATGACAGATTACAAGTGTGTGCAACTGGATTTGTGATACTGACCTGAGTGGAACTGAAAAGACGTGTAAAACCAACACGATTGTACTCCACCTTGAACTGGTAAACACCATAGACATCAGGTACCTGTAATCAT